CACACACACACACACACACATATATATATATACATTTTTTTTTTTAAATGAGATGAGCCAAATAGACCAGACTAGCATCAAACAGTTCTCCTGCCTCAGCTTACAAGTGCTGGGGATGTAGCCATATACCAACCACCATTCTGGGCTTGAACAGTGTTTTAAAGATGGAGCAGATGGCTGGGTGGTGGTGGCACAACCCTTAATCCCAGCACTCGGAGGCAGACGCAGGTGGATATTCATGAGTTTGAGGCCAGTCTGGACTACAAAGCTACCTCTCTTGAAAAACAAACAAACAAAAAAGATGGAGCAGATGGGCTCGTGAGATGTTATGAGGTGATGGAAGACCTACTCAGTTAGATGAAGCCGGACTGCAGGAGACAAAATTGTGCCAGTGGAATAGTGCTGAGTCACTCAGGTTATCTTGACCTGAGTGTTCTGTGCCCCCCACCCCACACCCAGTGTGTGTGTGTGTGTGTGTGTGTGTGCGTGCGTGCGTGTGTGTGTGTGCGCGCGCACGTGTGTGTGTGTGTGTGTGTGCGCGCGTGTGTGTGTGCGCGCGCGTGTGTGTGTGTGTGTGTGTGGTGTGTGTGTGTGTCTCTCCCCGTGTGTGTGTGTGTGTGTGTGGTGTGTGTGTGTGTCTCTCCCCGTGTGTGTGTGTGTGTGTGTGGTGTGTGTGTGTGTCTCTCCCCGTGTGTGTGTGTGTGTGTGTGGTGTGTGTGTGTGTCTCTCCCCGTGTGTGTGTGTGTGTGTGTGGTGTGTGTGTGTGTCTCTCCCCGTGTGTGTGTGTGTGTGTGTGGTGTGTGTGTGTGTCTCTCCCCGTGTGTGTGTGTGTGTGTGTGGTGTGTGTGTGTGTCTCTCCCCGTGTGTGTGTGTGTGTGTGTGGTGTGTGTGTGTGTCTCTCCCCGTGTGTGTGTGTGTGTGTGTGGTGTGTGTGTGTGTCTCTCCCCGTGTGTGTGTGTGTGTGTGTGGTGTGTGTGTGTGTCTCTCCCCGTGTGTGTGTGTGTGTGTGTGGTGTGTGTGTGTGTCTCTCCCCGTGTGTGTGTGTGTGTGTGTGGTGTGTGTGTGTGTCTCTCCCCGTGTGTGTGTGTGTGTGTGTGGTGTGTGTGTGTGTCTCTCCCCGTGTGTGTGTGTGTGTGTGTGGTGTGTGTGTGTGTCTCTCCCCGTGTGTGTGTGTGTGTGTGTGGTGTGTGTGTGTGTCTCTCCCCGTGTGTGTGTGTGTGTGTGTGGTGTGTGTGTGTGTCTCTCCCCGTGTGTGTGTGTGTGTGTGTGGTGTGTGTGTGTGTCTCTCCCCGTGTGTGTGTGTGTGTGTGTGGTGTGTGTGTGTGTCTCTCCCCGTGTGTGTGTGTGTGTGTGTGGTGTGTGTGTGTGTCTCTCCCCGTGTGTGTGTGTGTGTGTGTGTGTGTGTGTGTGTGTCTCCCAGTGTTGGAGACTAAACTCAAAACTCAAGTACTTTGCTGCTAAGCTGAATCTTCCTCTTTTTGTTTTTGTTTTCGTTTTTTAGGTAGGGTCTCACTATGTAGCCCTCGCTGTCTGGGAACTCTCTATGTAGAGGAGGCTGGCCTTGAACTCACAGAGATCTGTCTTAGTGCTGGGATTAAAGGTGTATGCTACCACAACTGGCCCTCCTTTGCTGGGATTAAAGGTGTATGCTACCACAACTGGCCCTCCTTTTTTTTTTTTTTTTTTAAGACGTGGGCAGTGGGGGTGGGGTGTGGGTCTTCTCTGTAGTGTGGATTGATCTAGAACTCACTATATAGCCCAGGCTGGCCTCAAACTTTCAAAACTCAAAGCTATTCTATAGCTATGTCCTCTTGAGTGCTGGGTTATAGAGGATTCTGTCATGTCAAAACAAAATGCCCAGCATTTTGTTTTGGCTATTCCCCCCACCCCTGCTTTTTGGGGGGAACCTGGGTATTGAACTCAGGTTGTCAGGCTTGGTGACAAGTGGCTTTACCATTTAGAAAGCTCACCCCTTCCCACCTTATCATTTGAAGTGGTCTCTTACTGAACCTAGAACGCACTGATTGACTAGACTGGCTGGCCAGCAAGCTCTGGGGATCCATCTGTTTCTGCCCCACCAATGCTAGGATCACACTTGGCTTTTTTACATGAGTGCCAGGGACTTGGGTTAAGTTTTTAGGCTTGCATGACAGGCACTTTGCCAACTGAGCTATCTCCCTGGCCCCCAGCTGGGTTTATAAGCTTGAGCCACAATGCTTATCTTTCAGCCTTAGTGTTCTATCAATGGATAATATGGCCTCTCTGATAGATTCCAAAAAGAAAAGAGGCAATGAGATGGGCAAGGTGGCACATACTTGTAATCCTAACATTTGGGAAGCAGAGTCAGGATTGTAGCTGTGGGCCAGCCTGGGTTACATAGAGATCCTGCCTAAAACAAACAAACAACAAAAGGGCAATGAATATATGTGTTTTGTCAGCAGGAAATCATTAAACAAGTATTAAATTACATTATCAGGAGCTGGCCAACTGCATGAACTATCAAGCTCAAAGAGAATTAGGTGATATGTGGAAAATCCTGCAGTGATGAATTCTTGGGCTCTCCCTCCCTATAATTCCCTATGTAAATATAACAGTTTCCATGATGGGGTGGATCTCCTGAGCAATGGAGACTTAAGTCCATCATTAGTGACCCTACCTGGGAGGCACTCACTTCTTACTTTGAAAATTGGTAGCTCAGTGGTAGAACATATGTTTAGCATGTTCAAATCCCTGGGTTTTATTCCAAACATTACACACCCATAAAAATGGATGTGAGGTCCCAATCTGGAGGCTTTGGAAAGGTTTCAGGCACTAGGAAGCTATTAGTAGACATGAAGGAAAGTGTGGGCTGTCTATTTCCTGGGGCCTAGGATCCACAGGCTCCATCAGTCTTGCAAAGGAATCCCTGACCCAGGAAAGGTTAAGAGTCATTGATTTTTTTTTTCTCACCAGAAATTAGTAACAATGTCTACCTTTAGGGAAAAGGACTGATGGAGGAAGGAGAAGATTTTTATTAAAAAATTTCAACCTAGCTGGGGTGTAGTGGGGAATGTCTGAAATCTCAGCCCACTCAGGAGGTAGAGGCTAGAAAATCTCTGAGATCCCGTCTCAAGAAACCAAGTGATAAAAATAATAAAGGAAACAAAAATGTCAAGCTTCTTTTTTTTTATTAGTTCAAATTAGGAACAAGTTTGCTTCACATGTCAATCCCTTCTTCCTCTCCCTCCCCTCCCTCCAACCCTCCCCCTAAATGTCAAGCTTCTTGAACTGTTTAGGTATTATCTGTGTTTTAAAAAAAAAGTCATTGGGGTTATCTGTGCGGTGAGATAACAGCCCTTTTTAGATTTTATCTTTATCCCTCTTTGTGTTTAACACAGGCAATACAAACACCATTGATATACTTGCAAATCTGCATCATCACAAACACATACAAATCACTGCACTATGCAAAGTTCGTCCTCTATTACATAAAGCAAAGCATATCCAAATACCATGAAGGACCAGTTTCAACTCAGTAAAATCTACACACCCAACAGACAAGATGGGAAAGACATCTGCAAGAGCTTCACGAACTCAGAAAAGGCTAAATGAATATTACTCCTTACTCCTGCCACCTCAGTTTTTTTTTTTTTCTTCCCATTTTTGAGACTGGGTTTCTCTGTGTAGCTTTGACTGTCCCAGAATTCCCTCTGTAGACCAGGCTGGCCTCCAACTCAGAGAGAGAGAGATCCACCTGCCTCTGCCTCCTGAGTGCTGGGATTACAGACATGCACCACCATGGCCTGGCATGCCACTTCAGTCAGAGCTATTTGTCTCAATTGGACATTTAAGCTTAATGGCAAAGGTTATTTAATGATAACAATGAATCCTAAAGGCAGGGAGAATATTTTATGGGCCTTTTGTGTATGGGTTAGTTTTAGTTTTAAAAGTCAGCACTTAATTTAAAAATTACTTAACGTATATAGATGTTTTGTCCGCACGCATGTTTGTACACCATGTGTGTTCCCAGGTCCCGGCAGAAGTCTGAGGGTACAGACCCCCTGGGGCTAGAGTTACAGATGGTTGAGAGCCATCCTGTGGGTGCTTGGACCTGAATCTGAATCTTCTAATGCTCTTTAACTGTTGAGGAATCCCTCCAGCCGCTAAAATCAGTATCTTTTAATGGAAACAAATTGATCAAAACTCTTACAGAATTTCAAGAGCCTATATAACGAAGTAATAAAATAACACAAAACCCAGACACGTGGAAATGGCAAATACTGTGTATTCAAGTCAGCTATCATGCGTGTGCCTTGCGGTTGAGTTTCGTGATTGAAGGGATGGAACACAACACTGGGTTATATCCACTATTCTCCCCCACGCAATCTAGTAATTTCTCTCTTTTCTCGTCATATTTCCGGGTGTATGTCTAGACTCACGCAGAAATTGAAGGCTCAGAGTAATTAAGAGTCTCCCATGTTATTTTTGATGTGCCCAGAAACCCAAATGCATTATGTGGGGTGATACCCGGAGACTGTCTAACTGGCTGATTCCCACGTGGTAAGAGGCTCACACTCTCGCCCCCACGTGGTGCCAAGGGCCGGGAAAAGGGAGAGCGGGCAGAAGCGAGCCGTATCAGGGCATTTAAAGTGTCTTGACGTCACACACTGCCAGGAACTCAGCTGAGTTTTCAGCAGGCCATTCCACTAATGTCTCTTCCCTCCCCCCGAGCTTTTGAGAGCTAGGCCTCTGCTCTTCCCTTGATGGCGGAGGGAGGAGCACGGAGCTCTCGGAACAGCCTGCACAGGGAGGCGTGTCCAGACGTCTCCCGACCCCACCTCCTGTCCCAGAAGCGCTTCTCATTGGTCGGTGGGCGGGGCTTCGTTAGCGCTGCTCTCGCCTCGAGGCCTCGGGGTGGCCTAGCCAGCTGGCCGTTCTTTAATTATGCACGGAGGCGTGTCTTGGCCAGTCGGGAGCTGGGTGGGGATTGGCTGGAGGGACTGTAATTCAGCGGTTTCCGGAGCTGCAGTGTAGACAGGGAGGGGGAACCTGGGGTTCCGACGTCGCGGCGGAGGGAACGAGCCCTAACCGGATCACCGAGGCACAACCCGGCTCGGTGTCGCCTGACCGCGTAGGCTAAGAGAGGCCAGGCGGCCCTCGGGAGCCCAGCTGCTCGCGTCTGGAGCCAGCGCAGCCCGGCCAGGCGGGCCTCAGCCCGGGAGACAGGTGAAGGGGGTGCAGGGTGGGGCCACCTCCCCGACGGCGTGCCAGCTGGGGGACGCCGCGGGGCGCCGCGCGCTTGCCGCTTTAGGGGCGCCTCGAGCTGTGAATGCACACTGAAGTGCGGCGGGAGGTTAGGGGGAGACACAGAGGGTCGCTCCGGGGGGACTGCTCCACCGATGACAGGAGCCGGCCTGGGAAGGGACGCTGGAAGTTTCGAGGCGGAGATGCGGAGGGGGAGTGAGGAGTTCCGGGGGTAGAACCGTGGGGCGAGGGCATTCTAGGCTGAGGGTGATAGCCGTGAAGTACAGCCCCCCAATGCCTGCTCCCGGAGGCTAGGGACGTTCGGGCCACCGGAGCTACTGTCAAGCCGGCGGAGATCACTGGGGTGGGGGAGTTGGAAAGCGCCTCCTTCCCGCCCCCGTGCTGGGCCTGGCGGCTCGGTGCTGAGCCACTTTCTTCGCCTTGTCCCGCTTCTGCTCCTTCAGTAGCCAGCTGTACCCCTTCGGAGGTGGGAACTGGAGTATACCCCCACAGCCTCTTGGGCTGGCTAGTTGTGGCTACGATTTTTTTCATAAGAATCATATTTCCTATAGGAAATTGACAAACCTGTGTTCTTTCTAAATTTTCACCCACCACTTTCTATGTTAAACTATGCTTCCCCTTACCTTGTTAAAAACACGTTTTCGTTTTTTAATTCAAAATAAATCCCTGGTCAAACCAGCTCTAAAGAACGACAAACCTCTTTCCTCTTTGACATTGTTCTCTCGTAAACACCTGGTAAACTCGACTAGACAATAAATAATTGAGCCATTGCGTTTACTGGATTGTGGTGTTGCTTAATTGTACAAGATAGAATGAGCCAATCAAGAGTGGGAGTTTTCTGTATCAGAGCCAAGCTCTTGGGTAAATGCAGAAGATAGGGAAACAAAGACTGGTTGGCCTTGACTGAGCTCTGTGTGTAAACTTTACCTGTTTGGGTGTGTGTTCCTTTAGTAAGTTAGCAAGTTCAGACAGCCACTGAAGTCACTTTTTTCTTAGCTAGTTCATGTCACTCTGTTATATCAATTGATATGTGTGTTTATATAGTCAGTGGTTAGTCATTTTTCTTATTCAAAATGTATACAGTCTATACCTGCTGTTTTCTATATTAAAGGACTTATTTATTCTGTGTATGCACTGTAAATGTCAGGCTAGCAGGTAAAGCATTGATTTGAATTTATCAAAACAATAAATCATCTCCACCTATGTGGAATTAGACTGTAGGTCTTGAGCCAGCCATTTTCTTTTTATATTAAATAATGTCCATGTTCCTTGAGGAAACATGTTTGTTTCATCATTGTATGTGCCAGACCAGAACACTAGCAGAATTTTAGATTTTAGATTTTACTTATCTTCATTTTATGTACATGGGTATTTTGCCTGTGTGCGTGTGTGTGCACCATGTGTGTCCAGTGCCCATGGAGGCCAGAAGAGGACATTGGATCCTCTGGGACTAGAGTTACAGATAGATGACAGCATGTGGGTTCTGGGAATCGAACCCAGGGCTTTTGGAAGAGCTCTTGGAAAGAAAATCTGGACTAATAACAATGAAGAAAGTTGGAATGGTTTGTTCTTAGTCTGTTCGCACACTCACCACAAAGAACTGTTAGCAGATTCATGAATCTTTTATTTTCATATGTAGTTCATGGGGGACAAATAACCACCTAGAAATAATCCTCAACCATGAGGACCTTCAAAGGGCCTGTGAGGTAGGTTGTTCACAGAATGTTAACCTCATTTTGTAGATAAGGAAATTGAGGCCAAAAGGACAAGACACTTGCCTAAGGCATAGTGTGACACAACAGTGGAATTCCTTAGTGACTGCTAGCTAGCTGTAGCTCTGACTGCCCTGGAACTTTGTAGACCAGGCTGACCTTGAATTCACAGAGATCTGCCTTCAGAGTGCTGTGATTAAAGGCATGTGCCACCCTTGTTCTGTTTCTTCATGGGAAGTAATTTTTTTCTTGTTAGCATAATCTACTATGCTAGATTATGAAACTATAATCAAACTGAAGCTATTTATTTATTTGTTTTTCAAGACAGGGTTTCTTAGTATAACCTTGGCTCTATACCAGGCTGGCCTCAAACTAAGAGACCTACCTATCTCTGCTGCACCCTCCCTTCCTCCAGTGCTAGGATTAAAGGCGAGCGCCATAACCACCTGGCAAAACTTCAGCTATTTATTAATGGATTTGTTTAGGCAAATTTTAGGTAAAGGGTAGCTGTGATCTCCATGACATTTAAGCCAGAGAGCCTTGTGGTCAGAGATCATTTCTGTCTGCCGAAAGTTACTTTTCTTTTGGCTTCTGTATGTCTTGACATTCAAATGTGAGAAGGGCAGAGGTGGTGAACACCATTCCCAAGCCAGCAGCCTTTTACTGATGTTTTCTGAGAGATGGTGTGCAACTCAGTGGCTATGTACTCTTTTTTGTGGAAACTGCCAGGCAAAGTAGGATATGTCTTGTTTGTAGAATTTGCAGTCTACTGGGGCAACTTGATAAATGCTTTATCATCCAATACAGCAAAGGTGGTGTCATTAAAAGAGAGTAAAGCATCACACCTATGTCTCCCTTCCTTTCCTACTTTCCTTCTCTCTCCCTTCCTTCCCTTCCCTCCCTCCCTGTTGGGATGGAACCCATCTTGCTAAGCAAGTGCTGTGCCACAGAACTCATTTTATGTCATTTGCATTTTAAAGTTCTAGCCAAACTAGTCATCTAAAACTAGTGCTTGAGGGACAGCCACAAGTCTTGAAGGACTCCCGCTGTTGTGGATCAGCCTCAATGAGATACAATAGGATGACATTGCCTTGTTGTCTTTGGTGGTAAAAAGAATTTCCTGCTTGGGAGCCTTGGCTTACTGTGGTATAGATAGTTGGGATGACCAGATTGTATTTGGTGGCAAATTTTTGGAAATAACTCATTTAAAGGATTAAGATTTGGAAGAGTGAATTTCTACTATGTTTCTCATTTTTTATGTTATGTTTGGTGTAACTTTATTCAGGTTAGCAAACACACACACACACACACACACATGCAGGAACACACACACACACACACACACACACACACACACAGGAACATACACACAAACATGCATGCACAAAGGAAGAAAGATGAGCCATGCTGGTTGCATATGTCTTTAATCCAAGCACTTGGAGGCAGAAGCAGTTGGATCTCTAAGAATTGAAGGCCAGCCTGGTCTACAAATTGAGTTCCAGGCCAGTGGAAGCTACATAGTGAAACCCTTACTCAAACAAACAAACAAAAGCAAAACATTATTAAGCAGAGGCTGGCCATGATAGCTTATGTCCGTCATTTTAGCATGTGGCTAAGTTCTGAGGCAAGAAAGTTGTTGAGTTTGAAAATAGCCTGGGCGTCATTGTGAGTTCCAGACCTGCTTGGGATAGAGACTAAGACCCTGTTTCAAAAACCAAAACCAAAACCAAAAAAAGCTTGGTAGATCCATGTATGATGGTACATGCTTGTAATTTAAAGCTTGGGAGACAGAGGGAGGAGGACCAGTATCAATTCAAGGTCAGTTTGTCCCACATAGCTAGTTGGCGGCTACATAGCAAAACCCTGTTTCAAGAAAAAACACTCCCACAGAGGCAGAAGGATTGCTGCAAATTTGAGGCTAGCCAGGTCTACATATTGAGTTCCAGGCCAGCCAGGGCTATGTAGAAAACCCTGTGTTTATGAACTAAACCAGAACAAAACAACAACAAAAAGTCAAAGCTAGGCAGGATCCTAGGAGAATGAATATTTGAAATCTCACCCCTGTTTTTATACAACTGAAGAAATAAATAGTGGGTAATAGGTTTTTTTTGCACACCCCCCCCCCAATGGGGACCAGGGCATGTGCTATTGTAGTTGTAGACTTAGGACTGGACAGTGGCTTAAGACTAAGCTACAGAGGAAAGGAAGTCTGGGTTTGGATCCTGGATTGGCTGCTTCCTGGTCAGAATATGAGCCTCAGTTTTCTTATCAATTTTTTTTTTGTTTTTGTTTTTGTTTTTTGTTTTTTGAGACAGGGTTTCTCTGTGTAGCTTTGGAGCCTATCCTGGAACTAGCTCTAGAGACCAGGCTGGTCTCGAACTCACAGAGATCTGTCTGCCACTGCCTCCCGAGTGCCGGGGTTAAAGGGGGGGCCCCCCCCTTTTCTCTTTTTTTTTTTTTTTTTTTTTTTTTTTTTTTTTTTTTAAAGGAAGATGATGAGACAAGCCTGGTGACACATGCCTATAATCCCAGACGTTAGGAGGCTGAGGCAGGAGCACCTTGAGTTCTGAGTCAGTTTGAGCTATACAGGGAGACCCTGTCTCAAAATGAAGCAAATTCATTAGGATGTTTACAGCATGCTGGTCCATAGCAAGTATCTGAGTTCTTAGTAAAGGTCCAAGAAAAGAGGCTCATTCTCTTCAGGGGTGAGAAGAGGGTACAGGAGAAGAGGGTACACAGCCTGAGCACCTGTGGGAGGAATAGGAATTTCTGCAGAGCAGTCAACAGTTGCATTCAGGGTGGAAGAAGCATGGATGTGCAGAGCTTAAAACAGCACAGTGTGTTCAGGGGCTGTGAGTGGAAGTGCTTAATTTAGGAGAAGGAAACAGGGGAAGGAGGCCACAGAGACACATCTCTTATTCCCTTGCTTTGGTTTATAATTGCCTTGTAATGTCCTTCAAGTAAGTTGTATTCTTTTCATAAAAGTAATATATGCTGTTGTAAAAAGCTAAACTTGTTTTCCTGTTAATAGTTGAATGTGTGTTTCTCCAGACACTTTGTTAGTTTACCCATTTTTCTTGGATCTGCTTATTGCAAATCATTTTAACAGCTCATCAAACTAATACGGAAGGCAAATCTAGCCCCAGAAGAAATTGATATTTAGATCCTGTCTTTCCTTCCTGTTAGTTACTATATCTATGGTAATGAATGACTTTACTAACTACTGAACAATTTGCCTGACTTTTGACC